GGAAACCTCTTTAGACCAAAAGTCAAACTTCAGTTGACTTTTTCCACTCGAAACCCTAATCAGTGTGCTGCATTGTAATGCTTTTATTCTTTTGGTATCAACCTCAAATATCACTTGTTCTTGACAATATCTGAGTCTCTTGATGACATGAAGACTTGATTTGTAAAATATCAATACAAACCTTGACTGATCAGTCCATAAGATCCTCGATTTTGACAGTGTAGAACCCTAATTCATCTGCATCTTGACAAAGATCAACTTGAAAAAGGTTAAGGTTAGATAACACATGCTTGATGCTCCTAGAGTAATGATGGAATCTAGGGGTCAAATTTATGGTATGACACTGCCCAACATTATCCTTTAAATAGTTGTGTTTTTCATCATAAAAAAGGGGGAGATTGTTAGAACAAGATTTGTTCATGACATATTTTCCTTGGGTTTTGATGATAAAAAAGTATGGAAAGAATAATGGTTTATTTTATGTGTGTTGCATATGTACAGGTTCTAATACTTGTAAATATTATAGTCAGAATCTATTTTGTATTAGCACACTTTGAGAGTTGCTGAATTGCTAGCTTCTGGTGGCAGAATCTGAAGAACATTTGCTAAGTGATGTCTGGCGTAGACTCTGAAGCTAAAGGTCTCAGCATCAGAAGAAGCAACATAGTTGTCTCTACACTTAGTGAATGCAAATTGGCTTATGGTATCATTCATAGTCGGTGATAAAGTTGAAGCTATCCGTACTGTAGAAAGCAAGTCGTATTATCAAATTAGTTTGTCAGCTAGAGTCTATAGATTGCAAGGCTCAAGAAAGGTTGAGATGTTTTATGGATATCTACTCTCAACGAATCTAATAGTAAATAATCTCTTGAAGACTTAAAGGTTAAACATGTTTCACATTGGATCAAGATCTTCTGGTGTATTTATCTTCAATGACTCTTGTACTATGGAGTAACAGTAAAGCATCTTGATCAAATTACCTCTTCAACAACTATTTTCTGAAAAGGCTGTAAATATTCCTAAAGGTTCAAACTGAATCTTTAACAAGAATCAACTAGAAGAAGGAGTAACAAGATCAACAATTATCAACACAATTGTATATGTAGATTTTCTGTTGCAGGTTGTAATTGTAAAAGCCTTAAGATTTCTTACACATTGAATATCTTAGAAATTTTAAGTGCATTAGGTTTTTGTTTGTGGTGATTTCACGTACCTCTGATGCTTGTATCATGTACACCTTGTTCTCTATTCTGCTGAACTTGTTTAGCAATTTAGATAAAAGTCTTATGTCATTGGGATACAAGCAAGGAAGTCTCGAGCCAAGAATCTTGAGCCACGTAAGTCTTTAGCAATGTGTTTGAGCCATGAAAGTCTTAATCAACTAGGTTGATTGAGTAGAAGTCTGGTATCATTGGGATACAAGCAAGTAAGTCTCGAGCTAAGATGCTTGAGCCACGTAAGTCTTTTGCTATGTGTTTGAGCAGTGAAAGTATTAATCAACTAGGTTGATTGAGTAGAAGTCTGGTATCATTGGGATACAAGCAAGTAAGTCTCGAGCTAAGATGCTTGAGCCACGTAAGTCTTTTGCTATGTGTTTGAGCAGTGAAAGTATTAATAAATGGATTGATTAAGCAGGAAGTTTTGAGCCAATGTAGCTTAAGCAGGTTGGCTCGATATATGAAACTAGAAGAGTAAGCCTTGGATCTGAGGGGATCAAGCAAGGAGGCTTGTTTCATGGGACTTAGAGCAGTAGGCTTAGCTAGAGTGGCTTGTAGAAAAAGTCTTGGGTCCGAGGGACTTGAGCAGAAGTTTGGGACTGATGGCCTAAGAAAGGAAGTATTGGGTTCATGGAACCTGAGCAAGAAGTCTCGAGTGAGGAGCTTGAGCAGAAGTATTTGACCTTAGGTCTGAGCAATTGTAAAAGTTTTATGCAGAATACATAAGCGATTGTAATCATGATTTAGTTATATTAAAAATCTCTTATGAAGCAAGGGGACTGGACTACTTTCAGTTTAGGAGGAACCATTATAAATCTTTGTATCTTTTGCTATTATTTATTTGCTTCTGTTAACATTCGGTTGCTAAGAATAACCAGAATCTGAACACCAATTTAGATTCTGAACTCTGATCAGATGCAAACTAAGAAAATAGAAAACACAATTCAACCCCCCTTCTTGTGTGCTTTTCTCACCTTTAGAAGCATTTTGAGGTAATATGTGTTGATATTCCTTCATTTGTTCACTATGTGCATGAAACATGGTTCACACTATAAGTAAAGGTTTATTTTTGCATATACTAATAGAATCACTCATTTAGGGAACACGACAACAAACAAATACATCGATGTAACTTTGATTGTATTACATTACTAATTATCAAGTTATAACTTCTTTTTCTATTTATGTTTCTAGGGATGAGTCTGCTCATTGGTGGCTAAAAAACATGTTGACTACTAGCTGTGGATATTTAGGTAGAAGCTGGGATGTTATGAACACCATGTTGAAATTGTAACTTGGTTCAATCAGAGTATCATTTCAAAACAAGTATTTCCAACATTTAGCATCGATATAACACTTCATTTAACTCTAGATTGCATGACTTCGTTTCAAGACATTGTATACAACACGTTAGAAAGGAGTTATAAAGGGTAAATTTTGTTGTTTATGACAAAGATGTATGTGGTTGCTTCATTAGAACAACACATGAGTTACCTTATGCATGTAACCTTGCCGGTCTTCAAATACAAGGTGAGTTTGTTCCATTGGAATCGATTCATGTATTTTGGAAGAAATTATACATTGAAGAGCATGAGGTCACTCAAGAAGATAATGTGACACAATTAGATTTAGAAGAAGAGTGTGAAAACTTGAAGAGATATTTCAGTACATTGGATAATTTAGGCCAAAGTGTGATGAAGAAAAAAGTACGGGAACTAACGCATCCATCATCAACTTCCATGTGTTTACCACCAATGAAGTACAAACCAGAAAGGGGAAATAAGAAGAGTAAAAAAATGGTCAAGAGAGTGATGTGCATCGTGATCTTTCGCATTGGTAATATGTTTAGTGTTCGCATGAAATTCAAACTACGAATAGATCATGTATAAAACTAACTAGAAGTCAACCGTCTAGCCAGTCTTCAAGACTTCTTTACTTGTCTTAGTTTTCTATTTTCTTACATAAGTACATTGATGACATTGTTGATGTGGGTCAAGATGTAAATTATGGTTTTCGTAGGTTTACTTGGATGGTGCGAAGAGTCTTGACCTTTGGTTCAAATGTAGTTAGATGCTAAAGTTTATTAGCACCAGCAAGTGTATTCCAGTGTGTTTTATGACACAACCTCTGAAGTTAGGAGTTCTTTGTGAATAACTAGCTTGATGTGCAAGGTCGTGAAAAATGGATGACAATTCCTGATATAGGTTACCCTGTTACTTTTATATACAATGTCATATTGGTCTCGTTGTCCAAGAACCTTAACATCACTTTCTTCCCACTAACATAAGCTTATTATAGTTTGTTTGGTTAACAACAATCATTGGATTTAATTGAAATTGGAACCTGATTGACCATTGCGTCCTATTATTGGCTGATGGAGACAAAGTTGTACTGAAGGTGCAAGAGCACGAGAAACAACATATGCAGGAAGGTACAAGGCACTGGGAAGAAGTTAGAAGGTCAATTTAATTTGTTTTGTATTGATATTGTAGTACATTTTTTCATTATATGTATATATTTTACCGAGTTAATTGTTATATTATATACTACCTTCATTTTTTATTATAAGTTGCTTTGGGAAAATAATTTGTACCACAATATAAGTCGTTTTATAATACCAATGAACCATTAATATTATTTTTCCTATTATATCCTTAAATATTTATTATTCTCTTTCTTTTCAATTATGTAAATTTGTATTTTCAATATGATTAATGAAGGACAATTTTGTAAAACTCTTCATAATTTCTTCTTTTCATACCATAATTATTATATTTCTTAATAGATGTGAAAAATCAAAAACAACTTATAATAAAAAACAGAGGGAGTAACTATTTTGCTAAAAATGTCAAAAATTTAAGTTGAAAAACAAAAACTTAAAATAACCCTTCTCTAACTATCCGATTTTTTAAATATTCAAAAAACTTGGTATGTTTCGGATATTTCAATATATCCGATACGCAGTATAGGTTATCAATTTTTTTGAAACATCTAGTAAAAATGAATGGGATAGATCAAAAAAATAATGTATTTTTTCAGAAATTTTAAAAGTATTATATATTTCTTCAAATAAATTTAAAAAAATCCAATAAATACGTGGTATTTCTTCAAATAAATTCCAAAAATCCGACATTATGTCAAAAAATTTGATACCTGACAATACTTTTAATAAAACCCGAAAATATTAGACAATGTCAAAATGGTAAAAGCATAGCAAACGTAGGAGTGTTAGCTTTAAAGGTGGGGTGCCAGTTAAAAATCTCCTTAATGGATATAGACTAATGACTCGAAACAACTGACCCTAATTCTTTTTGGACCAATCTGTTTGGTAAAAAAGACTAAAAAAATATTATAATTATTTTATTTCATGAGTTATCTTTCTTGAAACAACAATATCCACTAAGATTGGTTGGCCTTCAAAATGCAAATAGAAACATGAATGAAATGCATTACAAGACAAATTGGCATTGTCCTCAAATCACATTCACAAATATTCTTGACTAAGATAACGTTTATGCAGCATTCATCTTTACCTGTGGCTTAAGATTTAAGAACATGATTCAGATTGGTAGTGAGAGAATAGAGATAAGGAAGTAGTGTCAATTACAAACTCATAGCTGCTATTAACTCACATTTCGCTTTCTTTATCCTTTTCATATACATGCCTTGTTCATATTCATTTTCATTACCTTTTAGTCCAAATGTAACACAAACATTTCAAAGTTCATTCTCATTTCAAGGAGTCTTACCTATAGCTCAGGGCGAAGAGGAGCAAAGAGTGTGATGGCTGGGGCATTCAAAAAGTGTATGATGCTCTGTTGTACCAGCAAAATTGTCTCGGTATGTTATTTATTCATTTTTTATTATTACTGGAATGAGTTTCCTTAATATAACTTTTGTGTTTGTGTTTCTCTCATATCTTGCGATATATGCTACTCGAGTGTTCAACAATTTTAAAATACTTATGATTTTAGAATATTTGTGAGTATTTATAAAATTTAGACATCAAAAAAGAGTAAATACAGACTGAGACAAGTTTTATGTACTAAAATTCAAATAGTTTACTGAATGTTAACTTGTGTCATTGAAATATATGTTAAAAAGTTCACAAATAAAAAATTCCTATTGAAAAAAGAAATAATATCATTAATTATTAATTTATATTAAATTTAAAACAAATTTTTTAATAAATTTTTATTATATTTATCACTTAACTTATATTTCAAAGTCACAAATTAACATTATTAAAAAAAATATAACTAAATTTAAAATCGTTATAAAACAAATTTGAATAATCTTTGCCTTAATCCCTTTTTAATAATGTATATAATGAAAAGTGGCATAAAAAAGAAGAAATATGAAAAACATTAAATATTTTAAGTGAATATGAATCAATTTGCAAAGTTGAAAAATATAGAAATATGCAAATAAAAAAGAATTATAAGTGAGTTGGCTTTTTATTAATAAAAGCTAAATGCATTTTTTTTATAAATTAATACGCGAACATGAGAGATTAGGAGAAAAAAAATTCAGCCTGTTTTTTACATATTTTTATCTAATTTCCAATGATAAGAAGTCAAAATAAATGAAGAAAATAAATGTGCACTCAGGTCCGGCCCAAGGCCATTATCTTGGGCTTCATTTTTTTCTCTATATATCAGGCCTCCAAATTAATTGAAGAATTTTTTATTCCACCTCATGGCCTTCTTAGATACTATAAGCTCTGGCTAAAATATCTTTCTGATTTTTGAGATGTATCTCTAAACACATTTTTTTCAACTTTTTTAAATTAATTCTGTAAATGCATCCACAAAATATTTTCATATGCGTATTTACGGAAGAAAATTAAAAACAGAATACTAAAAAATCAACATTGCAACGATAAAATCAACATTTATAAAATAAAATCGATGTTACGTTGATGATTTCGACAAAAATTTAAATACTATATTTCAATAGCTCGATGGACGCTTGCACATCTCTAAGATGTCATCAACCGTTCTTCGGACCGTCACCTCCAACTCGAGCAGAATTTTCTCTTTGAAACCGAAATATGTTCGCCACATCGCCCTAACATCGTCTTGATTCTTGAGCTCAAACTTATTGTAAACAATGTTCTATTCGTTGTCAACTGAAGGTGAACGATACTCAAACTTCACAATCTTTCGTTTGTCATTGTAAGGTATGCGATATTGGATCTTGTCTATGATATCGGTGAAGGGGGGTGAGATCCATGAGCTTGAACGTTATCCCGAGTGTTTTGCCATCGGAAAAGGAGACACTTGCGACATACCAATGGTTCTTGATTTCACACAATTGAGACATTTTCGTATTTGTGAGAAAGATAACAAATGAAACCCCAAATTTATAGAAAACTTAGGTGAATATGGACCAACCATTTTTTGTCAAACTTTTTTCCAGAGGTATATACACGGAACAACCCCATAATTATTAGTTTCGGAGGTGTATCTCCGGAACTTTTCCTGAACTGAATTATTTTAAAGTTTTTTCCAGCATTTACCAATTTAAAATTATTCCATAGATATAATTTCAGAAAAAAAAAGGTGCATTTATCTTCGGAAGCAGAAGGCATAAAAGAAAACGTGTTAGGTGCTTAAGAATATTAAGGGGTGAAGTAAGAAATTCTCTAACTTAAATACCAATCATATGTTAGCGAAGTATAATTTTAACATAAAACCTATAAAAGTCTGATGGTGAAGTAACTTTCAATTTTTTTAACCAACAATGCATTTTCATTTATTTAATGAGACGCTACTGATCAAAGTATACAATTATTATTAATAATTAATTATTTATTTTAAAATGAGTTTAATGGTAGTGTATTGTCAATGTAAAAAGTATTTTACGTATATTTAATTAAAATATTTTATAATTTGGAACAGAGGAAGTAGAATATTGAGAGACCACTCAAATTCGTATTTAATAGTGTAAAATATATTAAAAATTAAAAATTAAAAATTAATATTTAAAATTGCTTAAATTTAGTTTTGATAAAATGCTTAGTAAAACCCTTTCTTTTCAAAATTCTTTCAAGCATATCATCCAAATGATAAATTTTATACTAAAAATTTGAGTTACTTATAGAACTATATTAGCGTAAATTAATAAAAACATTCTAGATGTAACCAGAGAGCTCTAGTAGTCAAGTTGATTACATTGACTATAAAACAAAAAGTAGTCTCATTACAACATTATGCATAAGAAATGGCTCACGCCTAAGAGAGAGGAGAAAAATAATCTTTTGTCATTATTTTATAATGGACAAACATTATCTTTATAAAAAAGAACCATTGACAAAATGTCATAAAATTATCTCTACGTCTTAGAAAAACATTGCATATTGTTATAAAAAAATTGATTATTAAAATAGAAATGGACAATTGAATTATGGTTTAATTCTATTAGGAAGATTCTAAAGTCTCATATTGGTTAGAGATAGAATATTGAAATAGTTTATATAGAGTGACATGTCTTATCTTATTAACCGGTTTTGTAAGGTCATATTAGGCCAAACTCTAATATGTTATCAGAGTCTATCGATCGGACCTTGGGCAGCCCACCGTTTAAATCCACGCACCAAACCCAAAAATAGTGTTGGGCGTGAGGGGGTGTATTAGGAAGATCTTAAAGTCTCACATTGATTGAAGATAGAGCATTGAAATAGTTTATATAGAATGACACCCTCACCTTACCAACCGATTTTGTAAGGTTGTATTAGGTCAAACTCTAATAAATTCTAACTATTTTTATTAAAATAAAAATTTCCCACCTTCTTCCCATTAACTAGGCAATAATGTATAGTGTATTCTCCATTCTATTTTTTATATATAGTTTATGATTTTTGTATAATATCTTTAAAAACCATTGAAGTTAGACAATTCTGATTTTAAATTTATGGTTCCTCTCATTAATATATCTTTTTTATTGAATAACCAAAATATATTTTACCTAAGTCTCATAATTGATCATTTTGTATCATGCCATTTGTGTTTGCAATTTTGGACCACCATGACTTTTATTTGGGTGACTATGTTCACAGTATACGCCACTAAGTCCCACCACCCTACCTAAGGTTCCATTTTATTTTTCTAGTTTTTTTTAATGATAAAATTCTCACAAATTATTATTAAAAATAAAATATTTTTAAATAGAACTTGAGAAAATATATATCTACTCACATTTTTCGATCGAAGTTGTTTTTTTTAATAATTAATTAAAATTAATGGTTATATAATGTTAGTATAAATTATTTTAAATAGTCAATGTATTATAATTATTTATAAATGTTATTTAAAAATTAAAAACAAAATAAATTCTTTACCGGACTAATACATATCAATTAAATTTTAATTAAAACTGTGTACTTTTTACTAGAGAATGTGTTAGGGTGATGAAATTATGCGTCATAGAAGTATTTATATTTATCTTCTTCAAAAACACCGACGAAAATTAAACTTACAGTGTCCAGATTTAAATTCAATAGAAGACAAATTATTCTTATTGTCATTTTTGTGAAGTGATTAATATAATAGCCATACAAATTATTAATAAATTTATTTCTGATAATAAGAACAAATCTTCGAAATTATGCTTTTATTTTTGGTTCAATTACTGATATGATTGTACATCTACTATAGTAATTGACTACCATAGAACACAACCATTCTTTTTTGAGAAAAAAAAATGAGACGTCCTTATCCAAGGCTTGACCCCAAATATAAACACATTAGTTTATTACTCATTCTAATTTTGATTACAAATAAAATAAATTAATAAAAATAGTTTTTTTTAATACTTCATCCATTCTTTTTTAAGAGTTTTTTTTTATACTTTTTACACATACTAAAACATTAATAATTGTTGTTATTTTTTAAATAATATGTTTTTCTTATTTTACCTTGAACTTTTGATAAATTTATATGATTTTCTGTCTCTTCATAATATATAATTAAAGATAATTTTAATAAAACAACTATAAACACTACTTTGAATTTTAAAATAACACTTAAAAAACAATTTTTTCTGAATGACACTTAAAAAGTAACAGAGGGAGTATTATTTAAAAAAAATCAAAGATAACTTTTTTTCAAACAAAAAATATGAAATAATATTAAACAACATTTCAATTCTCTAGAATTTAATTGAATATATACTTTTATCCAATCTTTTAATATTATGTTATCATCTAAAATTATTATTAATTTACTTTTTTTAAAAATACTCCATCTTAAATAAAATAATAATAAAAATTTATTATTTTTCCTTATATTTCTTTCTAGAACAATTACTTGATTTTATCTAAAAGTTATCAGTACAGACCAAAAAATAACAAAAACAAAATTTAATTTAATAATATTATATTTAAAACATATTTAGAGTCAAGACAAAGCATTGAATACAAATTTATTAGTGTCAACAACAACAAAAAAAAATTAGTATATTACAAACCGTGTTAAGTGGCACACCATGCGCAACTCTTGTGGTTTCTCTTCATAGCTACCGCGTCAAAATTTCTTCCCTATTCTCCCACAAATCTCACCAGTATCACACAGGAAACACACCAACAACAAAAAAAAAAACAACAAGGTTTGTCTATTGTCTACATGCGACTTCTGTCTGATTCCTCCCCAGATTCAGAGCATGCTATAGTTACTTTAATTTATCACCTAAAATTCACGTCACACATACATAAATTTATAAATTCTATTAATCAATTTTGATCTATCATATGAATTTGGAGAGTGATCTGAAATTATTGATTCGTTGTTTTCGTGTTGATTATTTTTTCGTCTGTGTTTTTTGGAACGAAATCAGAAGGAAGACATGGCTGCAGAATCGTACGACGAAACCATCGCATCGCTGACCAAGCTTCTCCAGTAAGAGAAAAAAATCACAAAACTCTCTCTCTCTCTCTCTCTCAATGGTGGTTCGTTTCGGTTATTGTTATTGTCACGTGGGGCCCACACGCACCGCAACAAACGCCTTGTTTTCCGTGCAATGTAACGGTTTCCGTTTCATTTTAATTTTCAGGGAGAAAGCTGAGCTAAGTAGCATCGCGGCCGTTAAGATCAGAGAGCTCACGGCGGAGTTGGAGGCCACCGCTGCCAAACCGTTTAACCCGGATGAGAGGATCCGATCCGGCTTTGTCCAATTCAAAACAGAAAAATTCGAGTACGTTTTTTACGATCATTTTTTCTTCATTATTTTTCATATTTACAAAGTTAGGAAGATTCTTGTTGAGAACGTAACTATTCGAATTGGATAAAATTCCTTGAAATATACTTTCGTGTACAAGTGAAGAATCGAAAAACAACAAAAAAAAATGGATACAGAAAGTTAAAACGAACGTACTCTATTTTGTCTTAATCTCAAAATAGAGTGGTGATTCTTCGTGGTTAAGCTAATTAATAATGAATAAATCAAGTAATTAATAAAGTTAAAGTTAAAGTATTTGATAAAAAAATTTACCACCTTAGATTAAAAATTTTCTTTTTCGTAAAAGATTTTACTTTTAAATGATAAGGGAAAGTACATTTTACTGAAATATTGGTGGGTGCTGTACGTCTTCATTTCAGGAAAAATCCTGATCTGTACGGTGAACTTGCCAAAGGCCAGAGCCCAAAGGTTAGTTTTTATTATTATTATTATTATTGATATTGATATATTATTTTATACTACTACATCTCTCACCAACTATGTGTTTTATTAATTCAAAATTAAACTAAATTTTTATTGTTACATTTTCTTGCTTCTTATCTGATCAAGAGTGATAATATTATATTGGTTGGTTTCATAATCATTGCAATTTTAAATAATTTGATTTATAATACTAATTATAGTATAGGAAAAATAAAGCATTGACTTAAAATCAGCATCATTATAGTATAAAGTTTTTTTAATGGATATTAGAGATACTATTGTATGACTAATGATTAAATTGCACATGCAGTTTATGGTGTTTGCTTGCTCAGATTCAAGAGTTTGCCCTTCCCACATTTTGGATTTCCAACCAGGGGAAGCTTTTGTGGTCAGAAACATCGCCAACATGGTTCCACCATTTGATAAGGTTCACTTTTTTATACACACACATGCATACTTTTATTTTAATATAAAGTTTTTTACTTTTTTTTTTAAGTTTATGAAATTTTCAATGCTTAATATTTTAATATTTTAATGTCAATGTTAATTTTTCTCTTTTTGAATTGGTGATTTGATGTTTGAACTGAGACAGGAAAGTCTGACTGGCCTTTCTGTTTTTGCAGACCAAGTATTCGGGAGCAGGGGCGGCCATTGAATATGCTGTACTACATTTAAAGGTTCTCATTTGTTGTTACTCATATCCCTATACTTCTTCACCATATTATTATTATAATGTTATAAAAATACCTTATTGTTATTTTTATTATTATAATAAATTAGTAATATGGTTGGTCACGTTCAACGGTAGAAAGTTCGGTAGTGGAAGCCATTTCACATTGTTATGTTATGTTGCATTATTTCTTGGGTCCACACGCATCTCAATTTGCATATATCTTTATATAAAGTTCAAATATAATTTTTTTTACGTACTTATATAAAAAAAATTTAAAACTATAAGCATTTTACTTTTTGGTATTTGATTTCTAAACGTTATGTATTACAGGTGGAGAATATTGTAGTAATTGGACACAGCTGCTGTGGAGGTATAAAGGGTCTCATGTCTATCCCAGATGATGGGACCACCGCAAGGCAAGTTTTGGTTAATTATTATATTGTTTTGGAATATATTTTATTAAAAAGCAATAAAGTTTTTTTTATTTGTACTAGAATTAGAGTTACATGTGATGAAAATTTAATTATTTTAAAAATATTATGATAGCTTTTCATAACTTCCAAGTATATTGTTGATTCACAGATCAACTTTTCATCGCATAGTTGAAATGTTAAGTATACTTATCAATCATATGTCAGCATAATAATAATTAATCTTAGTTAATAAGCAATAAGCAAAATGATCCATCTCCATTGGTTAATCAAAAGCATCAACTTTTTGAAAAAAAACACTTTGGGAATATACCAAGTTTTGGCCAGAATATCAATAACCAATAGTATACATAGAGAACAAGTGTATAATTCAATTTATTTAATTAATTCACGTGAAAGTTAATGTATAGATTTTCTCTTATCAATGTAATCCTTAAAGTCCTCACTCACTGACTCGACATTGGATCTATACATAATTGCATGTATAATATTTGTACATAAACTTTGGTAACATAAGAAAAATGACTCACAAAAATCATGTGGAAAATAAATAAATAATTTCCTTCTTCCATCATTTTCATCATTTCACAGTGACTTCATAGAAAATTGGGTCCAAATCTGTAATCCAGCAAAGTCCAAGGTTAAAACAGACAGCAGCTTAAGCTTCTCCGAGCAGTGTACAAACTGTGAAAAGGTAAACAAATTAATCTTTTTATTTTATGACTTAATAATGAATTAAATTAAATACAGCAGTGTTTAAAATTGTAATTTAATATTTTGCTTTCTAAATAAAATGCAGGAAGCTGTGAATGTATCAATTGGGAACTTATTGACTTATCCATTTGTAAGAGAAGCTGTTGTGAAGAAAACACTTGCTTTGAAAGGAGCACATTACAATTTTCTGAATGGCACTTTTGAGCTCTGGGATTTGAACTTCAACGTTTTGCCCTCTGTGACTGTTTAAGGGTTTCTCCAACAAGAAAGTAAAGTTGCAGTATATATCATGAATTAGTCTTTGGAAGAGTATTTTGTCGGTTGTAATTGGTAAAACACCGATAAAGAAACATACATTCAGAAATAATAATGTTTGGTTACAAACAACAATAAATCAAGTATTTTTGTTCTCTATCAACATCTATTCTCTGTTTATACATGGTATTTTTTTTCATTTAATTTATTTTTTTTATTATAAGGATATTTTTGTTTGATAGATTAAAATTAGAGAATTTTTAAAGGTATCAGAGTTTCTTAGACACCGTGTGAAATTCCTACAATTTCTCTTAAATTTTGAAAATATATCTTCGAACACACTTTTTATACTCAAGAAGGGTCATTCTAGATGTCGCCTCATGGATTTGTTAAAGATTTATTCTGGAGATATATCTTCGAAACTATAACCGTAATTATATTTCTGAAACAAAACTCGAGACAGAATCAAAACAAAATGAACTTTCCAAACATAAAATGAGCATTAATAACATAAAGTGAGTATTACAATGATGATATCATCAAAAAATTAAATACTAAATTTCAATGTCTCAGTGGATGTTTGCACATCTCTAAGATATCTTTGGTCGATCTTCATAGTGTCGCTTCCATCTCGAGTGGAACTTTCTCTTCGAAAATGAAAAACGTTCGCTACATCGCCATAACATCCGCTCGAGTCTTGAGCTCAAATTTGTTGAACACAATGTTCTGTTCATTGTCAAGCGATGGTGAAAGGCACTTAAGCTTGACAATCCTTTGTGTGTCTCTGTAAGGTATGAGATAGTGGACTTCGTTTATGATATTATCGAGGGAGGTGAGATCCGTGAACTTGAACGTTCTCCCGGTTGTAAAGGCGTTGGAGTAGGAGACACTTGCGACATACCAACAAATATTTATTTCACACATTTGAGACATTTTGAGTTTGTGTAAAGTATAAAACCAAAACATCCAAATTTATAGAAGACCTACTTCAATAAGGACCATTCATTGGTTGACATTCATACTCCGAATATATATCTCCGAAACGCCACCCCAATATCTTGTTCTAGAGATGCATTTCTATAACTTTTCCTGAACCATTCAAAAACATAACAAATAAAAGAACCTTTCGAAGATGTATCTCCGAAACTTTTCCTGATACATTTTCAAAACATAATCATATGACAAAGAGTTCACAAAGACTAAATATGCACCATAAATGAACCAAATATGCATAAAGATCAAATATGAATAATAAGTGAATATGTAACACTTCATTTCTATTGAGACACGCTTATATACAATTATTTGTCTGATTACACACGAAATCAAAACGAATCGAAACATGCGTCGTCACTAAATCTATAGGTGGTACCCCCTTGGACTTTTGTGCATTTGATTCCTTTTCAATGTTGTTCAATCTATCGAATTCTTGCATCCTTTCCATAAAATGATTCGGCCACTTCTCGACATTTGCGGTTGAATGAGTTCGAAATTCTAAGTACCCAACAGTGGATGTTATCACAGATGTTATGGCATCCACTGTAACACAGACTACAAAACTTAATGACTAACTGCAAATGAAAACAGTAAATAACACAAGTAATTGTTTACCCAGTTCAGTGCAAACCACACCTACATCTGGGGGCTACCAAGCCAGAGAGGAAATTCACTATTAGTAGAATTAATTCAGAGTCAAACACACAGTTTGCACTCTTCACTTAAGACCTACCCAATGACACTTCAGCCTAACACTAGACAGAGTTACCAACTCACTCCCCCTCAATCACAACAGTGATATCAACCAATTCAAAGTTACAAATAACAATGAAGTCACACTTCAAACACACCTTGATCTTGCTTCACAGCTTTGATCAAGTGACACAACACTCTTGCTTAAAAGCTTTAGAGTGACACACTTAACAAACGCCTTAACAACTCTAGACCAATGCAATCATACAATAGATAATTGCTTGGTTTACAAGTATTTCTAAGACACACAAAAACACGTGAAGAACATAATTCTTCACTCACAAATACACGTTCTCCGAAACCCTGTCAAGAACTGTCTTCAAATAGGATTGCTCCTTCTGTATATATAGGCAGCATAAAGTCTTTGGGCCTTCGTACATAAGTTAAGTTTACCCAAGATAAACCTCTCTTCGTGAAGTTGCGCACGTCCAATTGAGTCAGGGGCATTCCATGTTATCCTTAGCAATGTCTGATATGTCGCCTTAGATAACTAGGCTTCCTAAAATGTTTCCTGAAGTATAGCCTGAGCTAATAACAGAAACTAATACCTGTGCGCCCTGATGTCATACGCTTGATGTCATAACATTCAGTCATGACATCCAACTTAAGTGACTCTTAGCTATTTAAACTTACCCTGCTAAATCCTTATTATGTATATCATAACATCAATCATGACATTCATACATCCATCAACGTTTTGCCACAAAATGCAGCCAATCAAAAGCATCTACAAACTCCCCCTTTGGCAAATTTTTGGCTAAAACACTCTGTTACCATATCAGAGATCACAAGCAGCAGAAATCATACCATACATGCAAGAAAGCTACTAGCTAACAACACACACATCTATCTCACCATATCAGAGTCATCTTCACACCCTAAGGACTACCTGCTAGTCCATACTACAGGTATCACACTGATTTGTGGATCATCTAGTGATACTCCCCCTCAACTGATGCACAGCACATTAGTGCACACATAACCTGCACACACAGCAGTCACTCATATTTGTCCAGACTGGATTCTGGTTGTCAGTACATTCAAGATGAAATCCTGAAGAACATAATCACCTGTGAAGCATAACATCATATGCTACTCCCCTTGAAAAGATGCACAGCCACACACATTCTGCAAACACCCTGCAGACACACACAAATCTAGCAGCTATCCTACTACTAGGTTCCATCAAGGAACACACGCATATCTTATGCAGCTTCAGCCACAATTCTAACATACATTCCTACACACATTAGGAACTCACACAACAACAACAACATCACACCTGTAGCACACTTAGAGCATCACCAACAACCAAGTCTCCACCTATGAGATACACACATACACATCTAGCCCAGTTGTTACTACCACTTCTCCCCCTTTTTAGCCACAAAATTAGATCAAAAATAACTAAATAGTATAGATCAAAAAGTATGGAAGTGCAGATGTTAGGGGTCATTACAACATAAAGCTCATGAAGAGCATCAGAGATTTCATGTTATCACAATAAAACAAAAATGCTAACCAAAGAACCAAAAAACTATTCAAACCAATAGCACATCATCATCAGCTCAAACACCTACATCAACCCATCATCCTGAGCCACACAGCAAGCCACCAACACCTCAATGTTCCTCCTCTTCAGTAGAGTTGGAACTAACCTCCTCATAATCTTCATCACTAGTCTCCTCAGAACTGGCACTAGCTTCTTCTGATGCAACATCCTGTCCATCATCCTCTCTTGAACCATCATCATTGCTCTTCTCATCTGTGTCAGTGAATTCAGAATCCTCATCTTGCTCAAGAGACCTGATCAAATTTTCAAGACTTTTCTTTCTAGTGTACAACTCCTTGCAAGTTTCTTTGAGCATTGTAATGACCTCAGCTTTTCTTGTCTTGGAACTTCCCTTTGATGTTTCTGCAGATGTCATGACAATGTCAAGAACATGAGTTCCTTGAAACATCTTGTGATGGAAAGACAATGGGCTTTCTCTCTTGCATGCAAAGTCATTCTCTTTAAGGAGATTGGGATACTTAGTCAAAATTATTCCACAGATAAGAGAAGAAAATGCTATGGGGCCTTTGATACTGTAGCTTCCTGCATGCTTCATGGTCTGGTAAAAAATATAGGTCCCATAGTCAAATTTGGCTTTGGTTCCAACAACATAGATAAATCTCCCAAGGATAGTTGCCACAATTGACTTATGATTTGTGGGCACCCAATTTGCAGCACCAATCTTGTGTAACATGGCATACTTGACACTCGGCTTACTGGCAACTAGATTTCCTTTTGATGGCCAGCTCTTTACCTGGTTGGCTGTTATCACCGGACACACTTTGTTGTCAGGCGCAGCTATATCAGGTTGTGCTGCATCTGATCTTCCCAGATAGTTGTTGATGGTTGTTGAAGAAAACGTGACACATTTACCTCGTACATAAACCTTGCCAAACTCATTGGATTTCCTATCAGCACACTCTTCTGATAGGTTGACTATGAGTTCTTTGACAAGTAACTCATAACAGTGTGAGAATTGAGTGACTGTCTTCAGCAAGCCAGCATCATGGATGAGATTCATGATTTCCTTATTTTCAAGAGCGTTCTAAGCAAGCTCTCTCTCTAAAGCCAACCTCTTTTGATAAACATATTTCCATCTGTTGACACTAGATGGATAGTGGAAGGAGACATTGTCAATGGGGACATCAGAAACACTAGCATCCAGTTTTCTAGTTGTGGGTTTCTTCTTTGGTTGGATGTCAGTAACATCACAAGCAACATCTGACTCATATTCTGATTCAGAACTAGTTTGGGCCTTCCTCTTCTTTGGAACAACCTTGTTCTAAGCTTTGGTAGGGCCAACCAGAGTCCTCTTAGTCCCAACCTTCTTTGTAGGAGTGTTCTGCACAATAGCCTTATTCCCTTTCCTAGTCATGAGCCATTTGGCTATGCTAGGGGTTGATTGTGGCAATCAGATCATTGTCTAAAAACTCATCAAGGTTCACAACATCAGCCTTGTCTTTTTGAACCTCATCAGCATCATTTTTATCATGTTGCATGTGATCATCATTCTTTTTAGAGGCTTGACCCTTGTCAGTGTCCTTTTGAGAAGTTGTTGCCAAGGTTTCAACATCGTGAATGACATCAGCTTGTTCATCCAGAGGAGGAGCAGAACCCTCTGTGTTAGAGGGAATAGATATTCTTGGCACATCATGAGGCTCACTCAGAACCCTGGATACCAAATTGGCAATGAT